ACCAGACCTGAGACAGAATCAGCATTTTGAACAAGATCCCAGGAGATTCTGTGTCCATTACAGTTTGAGAGCACTGCTGTAGCACATCGTCCCCACTTAACAGAAATGGAAATGGAGGCTTCAGAGAAGAGCTACTTTTCAAGTTCAATTTGCAAAGGTTGGGAGAGTTCGCTCTGGAAATAAATGGGGATTCAATGAAAGAAGACAAAAAGGGGACTTCAAATGGAAGTGAAGTTCCAGCAGTGTAATGTCATGACTTTTCTGAGAATATGAGCATGGTGTACAGGAGTGGAGGAAGTGGAATGGTCTGGGGCTATCCAACATTAGGTTTAGAATTGCTAAGATGGACACCACAGCAGGTAAAAAGAAGCAAAGACCCTGCAGTGATATTGAAGCCATCCCTGAGATGAATGCTTTTAGAGTGGGGCGGGGTGAGGAAGAAGGCACGTGAAGCCACATGGGGATGGACATTAGAGGGCTCTACGTGAGGAAGGGATAGGCTTGGGAACAGACCAAGAACTGGTGGTTGGCATGAAGGAATGGGGAAGAAAAGGAGATTGTGATCAAAATGAAGAATCTCAAAGCTTGAAATCCAGAAACTGGAGCACTTTTAAGTAATTTACAAAGTCAGGTTAGCCATCTCACAGGGGCCTGAAAATCATCAGTTTCAGAGGTTAAGAAACAACGAGACCAGAATATGGACGGTGTTGAAATCTCTGGGGATAATGGAAGTGGGAGTGGAAGAGAAAAAAATCTATTGACATTTAGAAAGCACAAACTGTTCAGTACTGATTTCCTCACATACACTTCCCTTGGTATGTCAACAAACAAGAAGAGTCACGTGGTTTGCTTAAAAAAAATAAAAAGCTCTTTCTCTATGTAAAGTGACAATTCTTTCTGAAACTTTCAATTCAAAAACTTGGTCTGACCAGAGTTTCTTTCTTTCTTCTTTTTTTTTTATTAGTTTCAGGTGTACAGAACAATGCAATAGTTATCCTTTTCACCCCTCCCAAAGTAACAATGCTCCTCCCCCCATCCATGGCCCTTCCACCCCCCGATATCATACTTATCTATTACAATTCCATTGACTCCATTCCCACACTCCACATCCCGTGACTATATGTATATATAATTATAGTTGACATAAATGTTATTCAACATCAGCTTCAGAAATACAGTGCGGTGGTCAGACCTCTACACCGTCTATGAAGTGGTCTCCCTAACAAGACATGAGTTTATTTCTTTAGTTCTCCAACTCAGAGGACCTAACTTGGAAAAGACCCATTTCTTCAAGGATTTGAATACTCCTGCAACAGCAGAACTAAGTGCAAAAGGACAGACCCCCTTATTTGAGCCAATAGTTATTATCCTAGTGACAGCTTTCTGGAACACAAAGACTTGAGGAGCAGTTTGTGAGTATACAGCTATGTGAATAACAATTTACCATATACAATGTCCTAGCTTAACCTAGCTGTCCCTCTTTATGAATTTACATTATTATAATGAGAATACACGAGGAAGAAGTAGAACTAGAAGATCAAAGGCAATTTTTCATTTTCTGTCAAGAGTTCAGAGATAATTCTTTAAAATTCACACACACACACACACACACACACACTAACAGGCACACAAATGCATAGAAATTTAATGGCAACAGACTGTTCAGCTTTGGAGAAGATAGAAAAAACATACAGCTTTGGATTCTAGAAAAAAGTCATTGAAAAGAGGAAGAAAATACAAGAACGATTCATTTTAAAAGAATTGGTAAATACAGTGTGTCTTAAGCAACAAGTTTGACCAAGGAACTTACCTTCCGGAAGACCTGCTGTAACCACTTCCAAGGGAACCTGTTTGGTGGAGGTGGAGACCCCATTCTATTCTCCTAGGCCAGGGTACCACTCTGCCCCAGAGAGCCAAAGTAACAGCAGAACTGTCAAGGAATTCCGCTGGCACCTATCAGGAAGCTGACATTCTCTGCTCTGATGCAGTCATAGGAAGCACAAGAAACCCGGATTAATAATGGACTTGAAATATGTAGAGGTGATCAACACTTGATACCGAGTAATGTTCTAGTCCAGTTGAGAGTGATAGGGCAATCTCACCTGGGCTCTTTATGTTCCTCCCATATTAGATATTAAAGCCTTTACCAGTGATTTCTCAAGTATTTGCTTCTTGGGCTGGATTTTAACTAACACCAAAGAGATGATTGGGTAGTCATTTTAAGGTGGTTGAAATGAATGCTCTACATCAAATTTCTTGTCAGAAGTTCCCAACAACCCTTCATATGACACTGCTATTTACAACAAATTATCATGGTTATCTTAATAACTTAATCTATTTGATAACAGTGTACTTCTGAGAGGACAGTGGTTGCAAAAGTATTTTTAGCTGCCATCAGTGACTAGATAATTGTCTTCCTGTTTACTTCAATTCCCAGTTGAATGTGAGTTGTGTGTTGAGTCTCTGGAAGCACTCCTCAGCTCAAATACTGTCAACAAAGAACAAACTTGGGGAGAAAGGGCTTCGGGGAATCTTGAAACACCATAAAACATACATAAGAGATAATTTCTCAAGATTTACTTTTTGGTGTTCCTGTCTTATATTATCTTTCACCCCACTGTTTTCTATGGTTTCCTCTAAGTAGGCCTCTTAAATCTCTTACTGGAACACCCTTCATTTATTTATATAGTATAGACTCAAGCAGACTGCTCGTCATTGGCTGGGACAAGGCAGGGAAAAGCTAGTTCTTCTCTCCTTTCTTCCCCCTCCTTTTCTTGTCCTTGTTCCCCTCCTGCCTCCTGTAGGGCTGTTGGGCTACACAGATGCTTCATTTCCCACTACCCCTCACTCTCCCATATAATTTCCACCAAGAGTTGCCAGATTTAGCAAGTAAAAATACAGGATGCTGGGCGGCTGGTTAGCTCAGTTGGTTAGAGCGCAGGCTCAACACCAAGGTTGCCAGTTCGATTCCCACATGGGCCAAGGAGCTGCGCCCTCCACAACTAGATTGAAACAACTACTTGACTTGGAGCTGATGGGTCCTGGAAAAACACACTGTTCCCCAATAAAATTTCTAGGAAAAAAAATACAGGATGCCTTGTTAAATGTGAATTTCAGATAGACAATGAATATTTTTAGTATATGTCCCTGCAATACTTGGGACATATTTATACTAAAATACGTTATTTATCTGAAATTCAAATTTAAGTGAGAGTCCTGTATTTTATGTGGCAACCCTCCTCTCATCCTGTGGGGTACAGGAGGCTCCAGCAGCTGACTGGTCCCTCTTATTGAGAACTCTATCTGCTTCAGTCCCATCCTGGAAAGAATACCCAAATCGAAATACTATCACTTCATCACAGTGGTCTATGTTCCTATACTCCCAGTTGGCCCAAAAGGGCTCCCTTAGACATTTTTCACTCTGAATTTTGGATTGTTGAAGGATGGGCAGAATACCAGATTGGGATCCCATCTGGCTTTGCCCTCAATGACCTCGATAATTTTGATTTTTAGCAAATGAAGATGAGACTTACTACAATGGACCAGAATTCAGACGCCAACATAGCACCCTTCCTTTCCATTCCTGCTTTAGAATGAAACTATCAGGGAAAAAGAAATCTAATGTGAACACATATGATGCATTTTATAGTACCTTAGGATGGAAACCTGCTAGAGGACCAAGGAAGCAATAATTGTATTTAAGTGTAAACTTGAAAAGTTAATTTCATGCAAAGAACAAGGCATCTGAGGTGAGGTAGTCCCACTGGAGCACTGAGAGAATGAACTCAGGCTTCTTTCTCCTTTGAGATTTTCTCTTTATTGGGTCTGAGAACAAGAAGTGGAAAAGAGAGTATAAATTCAGAAGCATGCCAGAAGGAAGCACAAAGCTCTTTAGAACTATTTTTCAGTGGCAGAGTCGGTGGCCTTACAAAACCTTCATTGTTTACTGCTGACTTTAAAGATACTATCAATCTACAGTACAGCTTTTTAAAGAATTTCTTCTTCCCACTGTATCTTGGACCTTGTGTGATAGGTAGCTTATTTCACTCAGGTGACCAGAATACAAAAAGGCAGCCTAGGTGTTGGGTACCAGCTTCCTTCATTCAGAGAATCCCTGCACTCCCTGGGGTCCTGTGTTAGTGTGACTTACTCTAAGCAGTCCTAGAATGGTTCCCCCACCCTTGGACAGAGGACAGATGCACTTCAATTTATACCTCAAGCAGACATTAGGTTTTTGTTCTTGAATGGTATTAAAGAATTTAAAAGGAATGTGATTTCCCTACCAAAATTTTCTACATTGAGCCATTCTGGAAACGTGGGCTCTTAGAGAGGTACTTCCTGTTTCCTTCCTCTCATTCTCCCTTTCTCTTATGCGGCAACCAAAGTTTCTAAATGTAAATATTGGAGGCTCTACCATTCAGTCTGGCTTTTTATGAGCCACTCTAGCCTACATCACAGTGTACAGTAGAAGAAAGAACAGTTGGAGAGCAATCAGAAGAAATGGATTATGGTTGAAATGTCTCCACTAACTAGCTGTGGGACCCAGGGAGGCCCTCCATCGTTCTGGGTCTGTTCCTCCTCTATAAAATGCTACTTCCTGTTGGACTCTATGTTCTTTTTTTTTTTAAAGATTTTTATTGGGGCATTTAGGGGATGGGAACAGTTCTGGGGAATTGGGGGAAGGGGAACAGACAAGTTGCTGTCGTTTTGTTCTTCAGTCTAGTTGTGGAGGACGTTGCTTCACTGGCCCAAGTTGGCACCATCATTGCGCTCTTCCCGGGCGAGGCAGATCAGTCGCCGGCATCTGGACGGTTGCTCACTGTGGCTGCTGGCCGCTCATGCTGGCTGCTGGCTACATACGGTAGCCCATGGCAACCCACTGCCACAGGGGCTGCAGCCTACGCCGTCGCCGGCGACTCACGGCAGCCCAGCTCCAGGTTGAGCTGTTGTTCAGCATCTTAGCTGTGGAGGGCAGTGTCACTGGCCCTCATATGTGGGATCCGAACCGGGGCCCTCTGGTGTTCCAAGCCAGTTCTTAACCATCGCGCCACTCGGCCGGCCCTGGACTCTATGTTCTTTAAGGTTCACTTCTGCTCTAAAGTTCTAGCTTCTTTGTCTATCCTTTCCCATCTCTACACATGCTTTTTTCTTTTAAAATTTTTCTTAAAATTAGGATAGTTCCTTTAAGAAAAAGCTTAACTCACTGAAAGCATAGTTTTCTAAGTATGCAGTGTATGAAATTTAGAAAATCAGCAGCTTGGATTTATGAGAGCTTTCTGATTCTCACAATCTTTCAGTGTTCTCAATTTATCACTTTCCTAGAGAGCTCTTAGACTAGATGTGCAGCAGTGTTGAGTCCAGTAAACAGATAAGTAGATGAAACATCCCATCCTGTTTTTCCTGGATTATCTCTCTGCCCATAATACACATTCTACTTATATCCGTGTATACTGTTTTATGTAAATTAGGTCAGTTTTTCATGTAAATATCTTATGCTAACATACGTTTTTGAGTTACACTGTTGTAAATGCATCAATTTCAAGTGCTTAGTGTGATGAATTTTGACTAATATATGTGTATACATACACCTATGTTCGTATCACCCAGAACTTGCCATCACCCCCAGAAAGTACTCTATGTCCCTTTCTTGGGGAAATTACTATTCTGATTTTTATCACCATAGATTGGTTTTGCCTGTTCTTATTAAATCATACTATATATATCAGTAAGGAAAAAACTGTCACAAAGTGTTGCAGACATGGATATTTTCAGCTAAAATCAAGGCCCAGTGAGGTGGCTAGCAAGGGGTCAAAACAGAGAGGAAACTATCAAAACTTAATCACTTTGTTAACTAAGTCAAACTTAATGAAATGAAAAGAATCTGTATACTTTAGAAAGCCCTCATACCAAGTGATGGAATTAACAGTGTTCACAAAATGTTGAACCAATTTGGAAGAGGCATTATAGAATGAAGAAGATCATAGTCTAAAGAGAATAACTGTCCCCTTGCCTCCAACCCAAATCATTGGGTGATAAGTAAGAGTTGCTACTAAGGCTTTGATATCTTGGTCAGTTTATCACAGAGGACCAAAGTGATTCAGTGTGGGTAGGAGATAACATGTAGATGAGATGTATCAGAGATGAGAGAAGGGGGTTAGAAACAACCCACGGCTCAGGGCCAGATGATTGGTTCTGCTATTGGTGAACCTGGAAGGTGAGGTCAGGAGTAACAAAATGAATACCAGAAGCACCTGTCGCCCAAGTAAATGAAATAGATGGCCCAATAAGAGAAAGTTAGGTTACTTTGCACTGAGTTCCCCAACTCTGGCTAAGCCTCCAAAAAATAAATGTTAGGGGGGAAAATGCAACTGGTTATGAAAAAATGTTATAACTCATTTAATTAAAAAATCAATTTGTTGACGTAGAAACCAACTGGACCAAACAGGACAAATGGATCAAACAGGACAGAAGCAATGATCTAAACAAGGACCAACGTAAAAGCTCTGATGCCAACCAGGAGGGCACCCAAACAGAAATTGAGCATGGGGGTAAGAGTCTTTATGTCTTTCTCTGCAGGCAAAGCCATTTGGTAGGCACTTCGTAGGAATATCTTTCCACCAGGTCTTCATCATACGGTATGTGCCACGAATCTCCAGTTGTTTGCACCACTGTGTCATAGCTGAGAATATGCTGTTGAATTAAAAAGGGAACCACAAATTGAGAACAACACTAAAGGGATATCTGGCCATTTCCCTTTCTTTTCTGAAAACTTCTTAGTTTGCTTCAGAGACATAGTCTCTGTCTTACTTAACAATGGATTTTCAAAGAACAGTTAGCTCTGTAAAGATAAACCCTAGTATTAGGAGTTCCTTTTCTGGGAGGGCTCATTTTTAAGGTTGAGGACCCTGTATAGGTGTACACACACACACACACATACCACGCATGCGCACGTATGCTACAATATTCCTTTTGTTGCCTTAATTAGTTTTATATGTGAAAGAGAAAAATTCAAATATACAAAAATAGAGATATAGTATAATGAATTCCCATATACCCATCACCCAGCTTCAACCATTATCAACTCAGGGTTAATTTTATTTCATCCATACCCCACTCACTTCCTTTCCCCTACCGCCACCCTCCCCCACCCAAAGACAGATATTATATAATTTCTTCTGTAATTCAGTATGTATCTCTAAAAGACAAGGACTTATTTTGTAAACATAAGATTAATACCATTATCAGACCTAAGAATTAATAATTCCTTAACATCATCAAATTTCTGTTTACATTTCCAATTATTGTATGTGTGTACATATATTTTACAGTTTATTTGTTTGAGTAGGAATTGAAATAAGGTAATTATTACATTGTGCTTGTTGAATTATCTCTTTTTTTTAAAAAAAGATTTTATTGGGGAATTGGGGGAGGGGAACAGACAAGTTGCTGTACTTTTGTTCTTCAGTCTAGTTGTGGAAGACACTGCTTCACTAGCCCATGTTGGTATTATGATCATTGCGCTCTTCCCGGCTGAGGCAGTTGGTTGCTGGCCATTATATGGCCGCTTGCGGCGGCTCACGGCAGCTCTCGCTGGCTGCTGGCCACTTGCAGTAGCTCACGGCAGCCCACTACAGCAGGGGCTACACCATTGCCGGCCACTCATGGCAGCCCAGCTCCAGGTCGAGCTGTTGTTCACAATCTTAGCTGTAGAGGATGCAGCGTCACTGGCCCATGTGGGAACCAAACCCCGGACCCTGATGTTCAGAGCTTGCTCTCCCAAGCCAACTGTTAACCAACTGAGCCACTCGGTCGGGCCCCTTGAATTATCTTTTAATTTTCTTTTAATCTAGAGCTTCCCTTTCCATCTCTATTATTCTTACAATCTTTTGTTGTTGAGGAAATCAGGTCAGTTGTCCTATATTGTTTCCTACAGTCTTGATTTTGCTGATTGCATCTCTGTGGTATCATTTGATACTATATTTCCTATAAATTTATTATTTTGTATATTTTTGACCATTGGACCATACCATTGGTTAGTGTATTTTTCTATAATAATTCGCCTTTGGATTTTCTCCCTTTGCTTTCATACACGAGACATCCTTGTATTTACACTTACAGGTATCTAAACTAGAATCAAAGGAGAACTCAACTGAGACCATGCCATAGCAGTGGGTTAAACAGGAAAATGAAGTTACTTAGCAGAAGTATGATGAACCATAAGGGATGAGGAATTTTGAGCTATTACAAATAAATAGGAAAAGAAAAAGCACATATGAAGAGTTTGTAATTAATCACATAATTGAAGTCACAACTGATGACATCCCAGGTGTTTTCAATATACCAATTAATGTGGGATTGGCTTATTAAAACTTTTGCTCTGGCAGACTTTCTGTTTCCAGGAACTGGCTAATTTCAAATGCCAAACTAAAACAGAAAAATGAAGCACTTAGAATCTTCATCTATTTGCAACATTCTTTGATTATGCCACATTCTTGCTACGTATTTGACTCTGCTGACATTATGTAGAGAACAGATAACATACCTGAAAGGTTAGTTTTGATCCTGGAAACTTATTGATAATGGCCAGCTGATGTCCCTGCTGCCACTTAAAGAACAGGCGTTGGGTCTTGGCATCAGCTAGACAGGCCTTGTGGTCCCGCATCAGATCTTTCGTGATAAACTTGCAGTGATTCCCTGAGTGCAGTGTGGCATACAGAAGGAACGGGTCATCCTCTGAGCTGGGCCAGGCATAAGAAAGGACACAGTCAAGCACACTCCAAGGAGGCAGAGGACAGCATCCTTCACCATGCTCTTTACTGCTTATTCTACTTTCCTTAGAGGGGCTCTGCATTCTTACTGACATGATTGCAGTGATACTCATGAACCACCTTACTGGTAGGAAACACTATCTAGAACATGGATGGAAAGCTAAGGGGAAGGGAATGCTAATGTTTGGGGCTCCTAATAGCTCAACTGGGCTCTCCCACTACAAAGAAGAATTCTAACAATAATTCTCTCTTCACACTCAAAAGTTGGTTTTCTGTGTTCCCAGGGCATTTTTCCTATTTGCCTTATCCACAACAGAACACGTCTTACCCCTATTCCTCATTCAAATTCAAGAAACCTTCACAATACTGATAGGGCAGGATGACACTTCATTGCAAGCCACCAGAAAGAAAAGGCTGCCCTCAAAGCCGAAACTGGTCTCTCAGAGCAGCTTCTGGGTTGTCACCCAGATCAGCACCCAAAGGCATCTCCTGCTTTGAGAAGAGCCAGCGACTCAGAGTCTCCAAAGGACCACCAACACCAGCACTTGCCACTTTAGTGCACGTACTGTCCAATCAGCAGTAGCTACCTTGGCTCAGGAGATTTGAACTACAACATGTGATATGCCTATGGATCCAAATGACCCAAAGTAGGACCATTTAATGTTTATTTTACACTGAAGTATGTCAAGTGAAATGGTAAAATGACTGGAATCTGCCTTAAAAATCTCCAGGAAAAAGAGAGGAAAAGAAAAAAGAAGAAAACATGGAGGGGTTGTATGGAACAAGATTAGCAAACGGTAGTAATTTTTGGAGCTGGGTAACAGTTACAGGGGTATTCACTAGACTGTTCTTTCTAGTGTACATACGAAAAGGCTTCTTTGGCACATTAATGGAAAATAGAGTTAATGTTAAAAATTTAATATTCAAATCCAAAGCCACAGAAGGCCAACGAACCAATCTTTACAACTGGATTTGGAACTTCAGTGGATATAATAAATACAGACCCCAAAACAAGCATGCAACCAATTTCCAACAGGCTTCTTGGTTATAACACTTTGTATTTATCTAATTCTTCCACAAAAGAAAAAAAAATGATGATAGCAACTAACATATATAAGCTTTCCACATACTTGGTGCTGTGCCGAATTTTACGTTTAATCTGCACAACATCCCCATGAGGGTTACATATGAAAAAAAAGAAGACTGAGAAGGAAAACACCTTCCCAGATAGAAAGTGGTGACAGGGCCATGACCTGAACCTGGGTAGACTAATTGCCAACCCCACACTCACTCTAATGTCTACTCAGTGTGGCCTAATGGGATTGCATGAAGAATGTTATTATTGTCTTCTACTCTTAGAGAGACGGAAGCATCCCCTCCCCTGAATAAATAAAAGAACTTAGCTAAAGGAAAAAGGGATCCCAAACAGGTGTGGGATCTCAATGAGGGGTTAGTCTCCTGCTTCATGCATCGAGAGCCATTTTACCTTTTTAAGAATAAATTATTTGGGAAATACTGACCAATCTTGATGTTATCACATTCAACCTAATGAAACCTAGACTAGGGACTGAGGCACATTCATTATCTGTATGAAGTCGGAAATAAACGTTTGTCGGCACATAGTAAGGAAAATAAAACACATATTAAAGTTCATTTGTGCTGTCGAGGATCTGTGTCCCTCCTGATTAGCTGCTTTCTTCTTACTTTATGGACACTGTGCATTTATTTTATCACCAACTGTGTTTTCCATGTTGCTTTGGCTTCCTGGGATGCTGTAGCTCACAGCAGCATCCGGGCCCCTCACTTGCCGCCCAGAGCCCCCGAGGTCCTCTGGAATGTGGTCCCTGCCTTCTCTCTGACCTCAGAACCTACTATTTTTCCTCTTGCTGCTACAGCCTATCTACACTGACCTGCTTGCTTTCCTCAAACATGCTAAGCTCGTTCCTGCCTTAGGGCTTTTTGAACACTTGATGTTCCTTTTACCTGGTGTGTTCTTCCCTCCCCCTTTCTCAAATGATGCTCTCCTTCCCTTCAGACTTGCGCCTCCCAAAGGTCTTTCCTGATCACCCCATCTACTACCCTCTGACCTACCCCTACCTAATCCCTTTCTATCTACTTACTCTGCTTGATTGTCTTCATAGCCTTGATCAATGCCTGGAATTAGAGACCTGTTTATTTGTTTACCTGTTTATTGTAAGTCACAAGAGGTCAGGGACTAGGTCTTGTTCACTGCTGTTTTCCAAGAACACAGAAGGTGATCATATTTGTAAAATATTTGTTAAATGATCTATTTAGGGCCTTATAACATGCATTCTGTGTGCTAATCTCACTTTATCTTCCATTCCTTCTTCATCCTGATTTCCTAATCTCATCTATTTAAGTTTATTCTGCTGTAGAAACTATTTTTGTAAGCTGCCTCAAAATGTTTTTTTGCAACAAGGCCGAGTATACATACGTGCCCTTTAAAAATGGTGAAAATAGGTACCTAACAAACGGATGACGGGAGCCTAGTGTAATTCACTTAGTACCTTCCATACTTACATATTGTCAGCAAAGAAACAGCTGGCTTGCTTTTGCACCTTTTCCATCTCATCCTTTCTCCACCGGGCACGCGATGTCAGCATATGCTTCCGGCCCAGGACCAGCACGCGCAGATTCTGCTTGGCTAGTTGAGAGACCACACGCTCGAGCTAAAAAACACAAAGCCAGCCCCGAAGAGGGTCAAGGGAAAAAGAATCTCAAGTAAGTGGAATGATTCTTCCAGCTTGTAATCCCGATGGTGAAACACTCTTTTCTGGTAAGGGGTGAGAAAACATTCCTTAAAATAATTTCCATCTTCGCAAGCCTGAGGAAATGCTTCCATTTTATAAATGAATGTCAGACTCCATTGGATCCAGGGGAGTTTTCTAATAAGCACAGACTAGATGAGCTGTTTTTGAACTGTGTTCCCTAGAGCCCTGGGATAGAGATAGGGAGGCCAAAGAAGATGGGGTCTGGTTCCTATACACTCCCAACCCTGTATTATCCAAAACAGGTCAGCTTTTGTAAACATATATATTAGTATGCTGCATAAGTTTTCATTTGAATAAAGGGTTCTACTTATTTTATTTATTTTTAATTATTATTATTTTTTTAGATTTTTATTGGGGAATTGGGGGATGGGAACAGTGCTGGGGAATTGGGAGAAGGGGAACAGACAAGTTGCTGTCCTTTTGTTCTTCAGTCTAGTNGAAAGAAAGATGAGTGTGCAGAAGAAAGGCACTTGCCTAAAACTGTGACAGTCTAGCTATGAGCCCACCTCCTCTGGGGTAAATTCCAATGCTGGATCCGGTGGGTTGGGTCAGAGTCAGAGGTGTACTGAGAACAGTACGGAAAAAGAAAACTAATTCTATGTTATATCAAAAATAAAGCTGGGAGAAATTTCCACTCTGGGAAGACATAGATGTACTTTTCCCTATTTCTCCCACTAAGCACAACTAAAACCTCAGACATTGTATGTAAAATAAGCATAAGACTTTGAAAGGTAGAGAGGAAACAGCAGATTGGCTAGGGACCTTGAAATATGAGGAATGACATGTTGGTAAGTACGTGGATTTTCTTCTTCTTTTTTTTTTTTTGGGTGGGGGAGGTCATAGAATAAGCGTTTATTATCGGAGCACCGGTTATCTGAGAAGGCAGCATAAGACAGGGTGACACCAAGAGTCCCACGACCTGCAGGAGAGTTGTCATCCCTGGTTAACACCTGCAAAAACGGCCTTCTTGGATTTTGTTTTTATCTCATATATCCTAGACTTGAAGCTGAAGAAGCCAGCAACCTGGAAATGCCAATGCAAGCAGACAAAACAACAACAACAACAAAAACCCAACATCTAGTTGTGGAGGATGTCGCTTCACTGGCCCAAGTTGGCACCATCATTGTGCTCTTCCCGGGCGAGGCAGATCAGTCGCCGCCTTCTGGACGGCCGCTCACGGTGGCTGCTGGCTACACACAGTAGCCCATGGCAACCCACTGCAGCAGGGGCTGCAGCCTACGCCGTGGCTGGCGACTCACGGCAACCCAGCTCCAGGTTGAACTGTTGTTCGCATCTTAGCTGTGGAGGGCAGTGTCACTGGCCCTCATATGGGGGATCTGAACCTCTGGTGACCCAAGCTAGCTCTTAACCAATGCGCCATTTGGCCAGCCCCGGGTTCTACTTATTTTAAAAGATTGCAAGTGCCTGTACTAGATAATGACTTCTCAGTCAACTTTTCCGTGTCATGATTCTGCTGAGACTGTTACCTTTCATTGGAATCCCTTTTCCTCCCAAAGGTCTGTCAATTTCCATCCATCATCTAGCCTATTTTCCAGTCAATGACTTTATCCCCATTTGCTCTACTTTCCACATGTCTTGTGTGCACATGAACTCCTCTCAAAAGTCTATACTGGGGGCCAGCTGAGTAGCTCAGTTGGTTAGGAGCTCGCTCAAGAGTGCAAGCTCAGAGCAACAGCGGTTTGAGTCCTGGCCCGAGCTGAGCAGCCGCTGAGCTGCCCATAGGTGGCAGGATGGCTCAGCTAGAAAAAAAAGAAAAAAAAAGTCTATACTGGGATTGTTAGTAAATCTAGTACTTTGGTGAGCTTGCCTATAATCAATCTTTCAGAAGGAAAAGTCCATAGACTACTTTCATGTACAACCTATTAAACTAAGCTGTGATACTAAGTTCAATAAAAGCTATTGAAAATTTATAATTTATGTTATATATATTTATGTTATATATATGAGTATGTCAGAGATATAAAATTTCTTTAATTTATAAGAATTGCTGGGCCGGCCAAGTGGTGCGTTGGTTAAGAGTTGGCTTGGGACGCCAGCTCTGAGCAGCAAGGCCCTGGTTCAGATCCCACATGAGGGCCAGTGACGCTGTGCCCTCTACAGCTAAGATGATGAACAACAGCTTGACCTGGAGCTGAGCTGCCATGAGTCGCTGGTGACAGCGTAGGCTGCAGCCCCTGATGCAGCGGGCTGCCGTGAGCTACCATGAGTGGCTGGCATCCAGCATTGAGTGGCTGGCAGCTAGCGTGAGCTGCCAAGAGCCGCTGTGAGCGGCCGTCCAATGGCCAGCGAGCGACTGCCTCACCCAGGAAGAGCGCAATGATAATACCAACATGGGCCAGTGAAGCGACATCCTCCACAACTATACTGAAGAACAAAAGGACAGCAACTTGTCTGTTCCCCTTCCCCGACTTCCCAATGCTGTTCTCCTCCCTCAATTCCCCAATAAAATCTTAAAAAAAAAAAAAAAAAAGAATTGCTGGGCCTACAAAAATCACAAGTTGAAAGTCATTGAAGAAATCCTTAATTTTTTTTGGTCTTGGTGGGAAAAAGCACTTGTTTTAGTCTAGCTTTCCCTTACTCATAATTTCTTCCCATGCAGATTTTCTGGACATTATATAAAATTCTTTAATCAATAAAATTTCATTCATGTATTTGGTCAGTTGTGTCAAATGCTGCTTTAGCACGTGTTATGTCTAATACACATGTAGACTCTGACAACCTAATAATGAATTAGCAAGGGCTGAATTTTAAATTACTGTTTAATGCTTTGGATTTATAGTGTTTTCTTTTTCTCTATTTTTGTCTATCCTACTACTCTTATTATTTTAGGAAACAGTAGTTGGTTTTATTATGCCAAATTATTAATTCTAGAATTAAGAGACAGAATAGACACAACTTGCTCACTGAAGGTGAGCTAATACTCAAGAAGAGAAGCATACCAAGGCCAGTGTGAGGACTCTAAACCCCAAACTTTATAACCAGTAGAATATAATTCTTTCCTTCAAAACTAGGAATCATCAGCAGTTATTTCCCAGGCCTCTCTATGTATAAGGCACATGATAGGTATCACAGCGTACACAGTTTTAAAAGATATGGTCCCTGCCTTTAGTGAGGTCTAATAATTTTCTTACCTAATTATCAAGCCTAGAGAAATATATATGTTGGCTCTACATATATTGGATAGTTAATAAACATTTTCTGATTAGCTTAAGCATATATACACATCTATTTTTATGCATTATAAAAGTTGCTCATTTTTGAAAACTTGAAAATTATAGATTAGAAGGAAGATAAAAGAAGAAATCACTTGTACTTCACTACCCAAAGATTGTTAACATATATTTACTCGTCTTTGTATTCTATTCATTTTTATATAATCTTATAGGCTATTATTTTAACAGCTAGGCTACTAATCAAAAGCAAACATCTACGCTAAGAAAGTTTAGTTCATGGATTCAAACACCTCAAGACATTGAGTATCTCCTTCAGAATGCACTCATAACATTCCTTTCTTAAAGCTATGTTGAGATTACAGATTACTTTCAATGACCCCAGACATAAAATAGAAACTGGATTCATTAAGAGGAATGACAATTACTTTTTAAAATTTCCATATGAATTCCCACAAAGTTATTGTAAAGACACATAAACAAATTCAAATAAAACCAATTTTGGATATTGACTACTTCAGTTTCCATGCAACTGGGAAGACATGGCTTAAAAAAACGACAACACACACACAACTGGGTCTTCATATCTATACCCAGTTTTAGATAAATGGCCTTGAGTTTACTAATATTAAGTTAAAGACAGAGACCTGAAGAGGAGCAGAAAAGGCTAAGCTTGAACTACTCTGGGGCACCATCTTGTGGCTGAGCAGTGTCTACTAGCAGCAGCTCTGAAAATGACGCAAACAAAGGCGAATAAAAGAAAGGCACAGGAAAAGAAAGAAAGATGAGTGTGCAGAAGAAAGGCACTTGCCTAAAACTGTGACAGTCTAGCTATGAGCCCACCTCCTCTGGGGTAAATTCCAATGCTGGATCCGGTGGGTTGGGTCAGAGTCAGAGGTGTACTGAGAACAGTACGGAAAAAGAAAACTAATTCTATGTTATATCAAAAATAAAGCTGGGAGAAATTTCCACTCTGGGAAGACATAGATGTACTTTTCCCTATTTCTCCCACTAAGCACAACTAAAACCTCAGACATTGTATGTAAAATAAGCATAAGACTTTGAAAGGTAGAGAGGAAACAGCAGATTGGCTAGGGACCTTGAAATATGAGGAATGACATGTTGGTAAGTACGTGGATTTTCTTCTTCTTTTTTTTTTTTTGGGTGGGGGAGGTCATAGAATAAGCGTTTATTATCGGAGCACCGGTTATCTGAGAAGGCAGCATAAGACAGGGTGACACCAAGAGTCCCACGACCTGCAGGAGAGTTGTCATCCCTGGTTAACACCTGCAAAAACGGCCTTCTTGGATTTTGTTTTTATCTCATATATCCTAGACTTGAAGCTGAAGAAGCCAGCAACCTGGAAATGCCAATGCAAGCAGACAAAACAACAACAACAACAAAAACCCAACAAAGGCCTGTTCTCTCTACCCAAAGAACCAGGAAAGGGGCAGTCTAGCAAGACTTAAAATAGACTGTGATGGATATATATATATATATTACCTACAGCAACAATTTAAAATGCTATACAGAGAGATACACTCAAAAACACTATGATTAAAAAACAAAACACTATAGATACATAAAAACGTAATTCTAAAAAAAGTTCAAATAGCCCACACGAAGGCAGGAAATATAGAACAAAGAAATGAAAAACAGAGATGAGAGAAAACACAAAATAAAGTGGCAGGCATAGGCCCTAATACA